TACAACGCTTATTACAAAACAATCTGTTTGTGAAGGCAGAGAAACGTTGTTTTCATGTCACTACTGTGTCATTCTTTGGGTTTGTGCTCTCCACGGGCCACATTCAGATGGACCCTGCCAAGGTCCAGGCCATAGCTGAGTGGCCCACACACTTCCTGGCAATAGACTGATTTTTAGGGTTCGCTAACTTTTACAGAGAGTTCATAAAGGATTATAGTTCCATTGTGGCTCCCCTCCATAGACTCACATCCTCCACACTACGGTTCGCATGGGATTCCTCAGCTGACAAAGCTTTCTCGGCCTTTAAACAGCACTTCTGTTCCGCCCCTATCCTCACCTTGCCTGACCCAGAGAGACAGTTCATCATGGAGGTCGATGCATCGGACTCTGGGTTGAGGGCGATTCTGTATCAGCGCTCTGCCCAGGATGGAAAGTTACACCCCTGTGCTTTTTTTTCCAGGCGTCTCTCCCATGCTGAAAGCAACTACAGCATTGGGGACAGAGAACTGCTGGCCATTAAGTTGGCACTGGAGGAATGGCGACATTGGCTGGAGGGCTCCAAGCAGCCGTTCCTGGTCTGGACAGATCATAAAAACTCCTCGATTCCCAGGAGTTGGAACCAGGTCCCTTCACTTGTCCATCGAACTGTCTATTTGTCCCAGCACTACTTCACCCTAAGATGCTTCAGTGGTGCCATGCCACCAAGCTCACCTGCCATCTGGGAGTGGCACGGACCTGCTACGCAGTACAGAGATGGTTTTGGTGGCCAACTTTGAGGGAGGATGTCCATGAGTTCGTGGCTGCATGTTCAGACTGTTGCAGAAGTAAGACTTCCACCGGCAAACCTGCGGGACTGCTGTGTCCCCTTCCCGTGCCCCTGTGGACTTTGTCATCGGTCACTGCCTGCATCTCAAAGCAATACAACCATACTTACTATTGTAGACAGGTTTTCCAAAATGGTCCACTTTATACCACTACGCAAGTTGCCCTCTGCTAAAGAGGCTGCACAGCTCATCATCCAGCACGTGCTCTGCCTACATGGTCTCCCCAGGTATGTGATGTCTGACAGCCATAGCCCCATGTATCATTATTTGGAAAAAGGGGAGCAGGGGTAGTAAATAAATGAGGACGTGCGGGGGCACAAACAATGCAGTCTTCCATACCCTGCTCTTTAGCAGTCTTGGTAAGCCAATTGAGCCAAACTTTCTTTTCATCATATCCAGTGGCTAATATCACTATGTCCCTATAGATTAGTTTGTTATAGTCTATGGCAATAACTTCCTTTTGGTCAGAGCTATGCTCTCCTTCCTCATTGTCAGTGTTTATTACCTCACTCTGTGTCTGAGGGGAAACATTAGTTTTATTTGCAGTGGATTCTAGAAAAACAAGCTTGGTCAGGGCCATAGTATCTGCCCCAGAATGATCCACCCCTAGGATAAAATACAATGCTTTAGGATTGTGGGGAGCAAAAGCAACATCTTCTTCATCGATGGTGAACTGACTGGGACCAGTGTACCCGGTCGTAGTAAGATTAACAATTGATAGTAGGAGGGGGTTATATTGTCTTTTATCTCTTGTCCTGACTACCTGGCCCTTCATGAACTTTATTCCATTCTTCACACGGAGGGGGAGACTCATGCCTGATGGTATCCAGTCTGGCCCAGTCCAGTGGGAGACCCAACTCCATGAGTTGCACCATCCCACACCTGAGGCACTCTGGTTGTTCACACATCGTCTGTTTATTCTGGGTGCTGGGCAGAGATAGACATCATATCCCCTCCAACCAGAGGGGTCACCACTACACCTGATCACATCACATAGATCAAACTGAAATGTCACATTAGTACCCTTAATGTACTGTAATTCAAGCCCTTCATAATTGAACAGGCAATAATCCAATTCCTTCTGCTGGTTTGGGATAATTAAATTCCCCTGAATACAAGCAGTCCTGATTTAAGTGAAAATTTACCCAATGGTGTACAAAATAGTGGGAACGCGTGCTTGGCTCTTTCAGATTATTTGCTATGAATCTCACTCTTCCCCTGTCACTTCCTACTGTGAAGGTAAATGGTCCTACTTTCACCTTCCAAAAATATCTACTTTCAGGTGTAAAATCAGTAGCAAATGGAAACATTGGGGGTTGGAGTAATTGTCCAAAAATATCACACTTATCCCAGTCCCATGCAGTAAGAAAACTTAACCCTAGTACTGGTGGTATATTAGTATAGGTACTACTGTCTCTGTATTGGATTATGTCTTGGGTGTAGAGGTCCTCGTCCTCCCACGGAACTAGATGGTAAGGGCAGCTGTTACTGGTCATGTAGTCTGCCACCAGCTCGTCTGCTTCTTCTCCTGGTCTTCTATCTTCAACACAACAGGGTGGACTACCTGTGTGTCACACAGGTGAGGGGATTATTCTGCCCCTTTTTTCACCTGTTTAAGGTCTGCCTGGACTTCTGTCAGAGGTTTCGTCAGCGCCTCCACAGAGGCACACTGGCTCCAGTGGTACCACGTCTCTCTCTTACCCTGCAGGCGGACTGCGTGCGACGTCCTTTCAGTCACCTTGTAAGGCCCAGTCCACCGTGCTTCACTCCACTTTCGTTTGATCACTCTCAGTAGGACCCACTCAGCCGTGTGGGGATCAGTATGGGTGCCAGGCAACAAGGGGACAGTAGCTAGACTGATGAAGCTGCGAACAAGAGATTTTAATTGTTCATATAATTGTTGGGTGTTGTGTGTGTCTGGCTTACCCGAAATCCATGTTAGCTTGGATGCTGGTCCTGGAAACTGTCTGCCAGTGATGAGCTCATATGGGATGAACCCAGTGGAAGAGTTAACAGACTGTCTTACTCACATGAGGGCCAGTGGGAGAGCATCTACCCAATTCAATTTGGTCTGTGCACAGATTTTAGCAAATTTTGAATTTTGTTTGAGTGTAGAGTTCATTCGCTCTATTTTCCCTTGTGACTGGAGTGATAAACACTCCCAAACCCATGCTTCAGCCCTAGAGCTGCTTCCACCTCCTGCAGATCTTTGCTTTTGAAGTGGTTATCATTATCTAACGTGATCCTTCTTTTTTTAGTAGCAGCATTTTTATAGTAGCAGCATTTTTTCCAATCTTACACAGACTTTTATTGTTCTCTTTGTTACATACATATCATGGCAAACAAGTTGGCCATGTCTCTTCTTTTTCCATCTTTACAACAAAAACA